GTGCGTGTTCCCTACTCACCAAGACAGAGCCATTTCTGTGGTGTGTGTGTGTGCGTGCGTGCGTGCGTGCGTGCGTGCGTGCGTGCGTGCGTGCGTGGGTGGGTTTGCATGCGTGCGTGCATGCATGCGGGCGGGCGTGCGTGCGCGTGGATGGGCGTGCGTGCGTGCGTGCGTGGATGGGTGGGTGTGTGTGTGAAGTGTGCGCGATCCATACTCACCAAGATAGAGCAATGTATGCTAGCGTCATCATCAGGAGCAGCTGCAGCGGCAACAGCAGCAGTAGTAGTAGTAGCAGCAGTAGCAACAACAGCAGCAGCAGCAGCAGTAGTAGTAGCAGCAGCAGTAGTAGTAGCAGCAGCAGTAGTAGTAGCAGCAGCAGCAGTAGTAGTAGCAGCAGCAGTAGTAGTAGCAGCAGCAGTAGCAGACCTGCCAACTGTTACGTATTGCCCGTAATTTGTTACGGACGCGAGTCAAAATTACGGTGTTACGGACGACCTCGAAAAATTACGGACAGCAAGAAATCTCTGAAATTTATATTTTTTAATGCAAAAAAAAGAAATAAACACAGTGTAAAATCAACTATTATCATGTAACATGACTACTGTGTCTGTAGATTTAGACTAATAGCTTTTAAAACGTAACGGTACTCACTGAAAATGGTAAATTATGCTGTGTTATGCGCTCGTCTGTCTGGTTTATGGGCGCAGCCATTTTGAATGACGTCACGGATCCAGGAATAGTAGTACCGCACTGAAGGCTATTTTCAGCCAATCACTGTGAGAGATAAATTAGGTGCTGTGCAGTGCACTGTTCTTATGCAAAATGGCATCAAAACGCATACAGACTGTTATTATTATACTGTAATAAGACTGACAAAAATGGTGTTACTGACAAATGCCTATTTGTTACGGAAAAATCCAATAATTATTACTGATGATCATCAGATGGGGTTGGCAGGTCTGCAGTAGCAGCAGCAGCAGCAGCAGCAGTAGTAGTAATAGTAGCAGCAGTAACAATACTCACTGTCTCATTGTATCGTTCCCTCTCTGTTACACTGTCTCATTGTATCGTTCCCTCTCTGCCTCACTGTCTCATTGTATCGTTCCCTCTCTGTCTCACAGTCTCACTCTCTGACCGTCTCTCTGTCTCGCAGGTGAGTTGGATCCGGAGCGGATGGGATCAGGCATTCAGTACGGCGACTCGTCCCTGCGTAAGGTTGGCCGGCAGCCACAGACGCGCCCGAGACCAGACTGCACCACCTGCTTTACCTGAACGCCGCCGCCGCGACGGTGGCGCCCCTGCGCGGTCAACGGTGGTGCCCCGGCGTGGTGGCGCCCCCGCCGCTACTGTGGCGCCCCCGTTTGGTTGCGACGCATGCTGCCGGCTGAGAGGAAGGGCAACGTTGGCATCCGTGCGCGGGCGTGCGCGTTGTGTTGATGACAGCTAGTCTTGTTTAGCCAGACGCGCGAGGTCGCAAACTCAGCGTAGGTTCCCGGCCGTCTCATGCGCAAACGCGAGATGTCGCGAGAAAAAGCAGTTCTAGTAGATGATTTCTCTCTAGCTCCTACTCCTCGTGTCACAAGCGCATCTAGTCTTGACCGTGTCCGTGCGTACGTGACATCACGGTCGCCGCCGCCGCCGCCGCGGCATCATCACGTACCCAGTAATGTAATCAAAAGGCGTGTTCAACAGCGCGAACGCTCGCAGCATGAACGCAGCGCCACTTGAACGACACACGAGCGCTCGCTTTATCCAAGATGGCGGCCCCCATGGCGGCTTCTTCAGCAGATTTTAATCGCAACATTTTAATATCTTCGAACAAGTACTATTAAACGAATTAGCAGACGCAATTGATATGATTTGAATTCAGAAGTGAATGAATGAAAGAAAAATGAAATGAAGTTGAAATAGATTGAAATTGAAGTTATGTTAGGGTTGATTCGCATTCGCCAGATTACCCGTCGCCATCTTGAAAACAACTCGCGCTGCGCCAACAGTCGGGAGCAGGGTCGAACGCGAGCCCGCACAGTGTCGTTCAGAAGGCGAGCGCACGCGAGCATTTGCGCTGATGAACACGCCTCTGATGGGGCGTTGCCTCGCGGCGTGTTAGGGTCGAGGTTAGGTAGGTAGGCACACAGGGTGGGGGAAGGCATGTCATTCTCTATGACAAACAACCCCTCTTCTATAACGCACACATACACCAGCTATTGCACGGCAGCTGCTTAGTGACTGTAATCATTACCTGCGCTATTCGTTAATCATCTAATTTACAGGTAAACCATCTAGTTAACAGGTAAAATATCTAGGTTGTAGGTAATACATATAGTTTACAGGTACCTAATTCATATAGGTTTAGATCGTTGCTGTAACGTCGGTGACGTTGCCATAGCGACGCATCCCGATCCAAACCGAATTGTCGGAGTTTATCTCCCGCTCGCTGTTTAACTTTCGCACGTTCGCTTGTTGCTTGCACCGCGCGCCCACGCATGAGGCACGACGAGCCCACCTGGTGGCGGGGTCCGTGAGCGGTGGCGGCGGCAGCGATCAGTCGTGGGTTTCCTCGCGCCCTTCCCCTCCCCCTCTCCCCTTCACCTTTCCCCTCTACCTCCCCCCTCCATTCTCCCCTCTCTCCCCTCCACCTCCCCCTCTCCCCTCCACCACCCCCTCTCCCCTCCCCTTACCCCAACCATACCCTACCCCAACCCTACTCTACCCTACCCTACCCTACACTACCGCAACCCTACCCCACCCCTAATCTAGGTGCAGGCAACGCGCGTAGGTATCTGTGCATATGTCGAGAACTGGGAATTTTATATAAGTTGACTCAAAGGCTTTGTCGCTCACACAGCATGTAAATAAGCTACTGTGAGGAGCGGCGTACGTCGCTCCCACTCGACGCGATTGTGTATCCGGCATGATCGTTAGCTAATTACGTCGTTAGCTAATTACATCGTTAGCTAATTACGTCGTTAGCGCCGCTGTAGAATAATGCTCGTTCTAAATCATTCTTTACGAAATGATGGCCTCTCGCTATATATTTGATTATTATATCCATCGCTGATGAATAGACGCGAACTGCTAACGTAGCATATTTAATTAGAGAGCGTATATCACATGTATTAGACTGATGTGCTCACCTGTAAAACGTAATATAGTGCAGTATGAATCCCCCCCCCCCCACACACACACATGTGCACTAACGCACGCGTGCACACACGCATAACGTTTATAACGATGTGTTATAAACAATAGATATCATTCGAACATGGTTTATTGTGGTATAGATGCATCAATAACATGATGTTTGCAAGATTGTTAGAGGTGTTATAAGAATATTAACCACTAGCACTGCTGCTGCTGCTGCTACTGCTACCGCTGCTAATGCTGCTGCTGCTTCTGCTGCTGCTACTGCTACCGCTGCTAATGCTGCTGCTGCTTCTGCTGCTGCT